CACTTTCCCGGAAACGCAGTTCATCGCGGTCACCGCCTACCAGAACACGGACGTAAGGAGCGCGGGCTGGGGGCTGGGCGCGGGGCGGGGGCACCGCTTCCCCGGCACCCGCGGCCCGGCTGGGCCGGGGCACCAACGTCGGCCACAGCGGGCTCTGCTGGGCCTGCTGCGCACCTCCCCCGGATACCCGGCCGGTGGGATTTACGTCTCTGTTGCGGGTCATGCGGGCCACCTTTGAGGTGCTCAGGAGTTTCTAGGGCCCCTTTTCTTTGGAATATTTTATTTAGTTCTCAAACTAGAACAAATTTAAATATGCTTTTTTTAAAAAAGCTCTCTTTCCTTTAGAAAACAAGCAGATTTTACCCTGCATTTTATTCTTGGCAATATGTGGCATTACCTAATATATATATATATAATCTCAGAATTGATGGCTGAATCAAACATCACTTTTGGGGAGCAAAAGAACATACTAATTCATATATGTAAAACTACAATAAATTAAATTACTGTGGGCTATGGAATGATTTTCTAGCTCTTGACCTCTTGAGCATTTGCAAGTTTGCAAAAACCAAAACTGATTTTAAGATGCAACTTGTCTGTTTGGTTGTGACTCAAAAGCATCCAACTTTTAAAAATATGGTGAAACGTTTAAAATAGGCAATTTTGGTGATTAATTCAAGTACCCCTTAGAGATTTTTGTCTGAGTAAGTGCATTATGTGTAACAAGCATTTTAAAAAATGTGCATTTGAACCAATTTAGAGCACATCGGAGAGCTAATTGAAAGCAGTGCTTTAGTTTTGGGCATCATTAATTTAAAGATGTTCCTCATAACTTTCATGATAATTCCCCCTCCCCTTTCCACCCATGCCCTCAACTTTTTGATGAAATCTTAGGCCATAAGCCCCTGTAAAAAGTGGCAGATGATATATCCTCAAACACCCAATCCTCCTGTATGGAAGGTGAGATCATATTAATCTTTTTTTTTCTCTTTCTCAGATTACACAACTGAAGATAGACCACAACCCCTTTGCAAAAGGATTTCGGGATAATTATGACACGTAAGTAATTTTGCTCCTTTCTTCTCAAATAGTTGTGGAATTGGGCTTTAGGTCAAAGGTGGATTGTTATGTGCAAGGTTTTTGGAAGCTGGAATGTGTGAAGACAAGGTTGTTTTCCAGGTTTCCCCTCTCCCTTTTGTCGACTCCCTTTCTCTCTGGCTTAGTTCTTCAGCAGTTTTGGTCAAAGGTTTCCTCCACCTATTTTTAGCCTCCTTGTAAATTACAGAGTTGTTGGGGGGCCTCTGAGACCCGCTGGCGGGGAAGCTGCCCTGGTTCCCGGGTGCGGGTGGAGTTGTATGTGGCGCTGCAGATGCTCAGCTCAGACTGTGTCTGAAACCTCCCGATTCTGTCTGAAAGTGCATGTGGCTCTGGCAGTTGTTACAGCCTCCTTGGCATATGTGACTTTTATTTACCCATCTTCAAGTTTTGTGTAATAGCGTTTCCTGTGCGAGTTTACTATGGACTGAATAAAAATGTGCACCCACCATAGGCAAATTCATGAGCAGAGCCACTCCAAAGTCATTTCAGGCTTTGGGAGGGATCTGGGTGCTGTTGCTGTGTGTTATTTATAAGCTTTGAGGGAAAAATATTTCCTCTTACATGTGTTTTAATGAAAAGTGTTGGTTCCCTTTTCTCCAAGCCTCCCCTACCTACCTCCATTTCTTTTCTGCCAACATGCTGTCCTCTGGGGCAACCACAGGTGTATACAGTGCTCTCTGTGCATGTTCTAGCATTCTTGCTCAGAGACCTGGTATAGTGCCTAAGAGTTCAGATAGTGTTACACAGCAAAATCTAATCTAGATTGTGGGGATTCCCATACCTTTTCCTGACCATAAAAGGGAAGGGTACATACATTTTAATTTCACGGCTTGCATTAAGTTCCTGGGATAGAGCTACAAAATTGAAGATGTGTTTGACTAAAAATAGATTAGATTTAAAGAGAAAGACACAAGTTGCTGCTTCTATTCCATCTCCAGGTAGATACCAACCTTCTTTTCTGTTTTTTAAAATAACAAATTGTGCATCCTTCAAAATTAGTTCAAAGGAAGCAAGCTTCACCTATGATTACCCAGAATAAAAACTTGGCTACTCTAGTCCTCCCAGTCTAAAAAGGTGGACCCGGCACAGTGGAAAGTGTGTGGCCCAGGAGACCAGAGATATTGGAGTCTGTACTAGGGGGGTCTTGTAGATTTTGAGCTTTTAATTCTGTTGTGAACATCTGTTCCGAAGCATTTTATTTTGCACAAATCAATTCAGTAATCCCGAGTGGGTTGGGACCTGGATGGGCTTCTAAGCTGTGTCTTTTGCAGACTGTTTTTCTTTTTCTTTTAAAATGTCGTGGTGGTAAACAGAAAAGACATTTGCACCTTGCTGGTTATGTTCCCTTTCTGACTCCTTCTACTTCTCTTATTTGAAACTGGACTGAAATTTCAGGAGGGAACTTTTGTGCAGTAAACAAGATGGACCTGAGCAGCTGCAGAGGGCCTCACCTGCCCCTCCCCTGGCTGACTTCAGTCAGAAAAACCAGTTCCCTTTGATTGGTCAATCACTCTGTGCTTTTCATAAAAGGCTTCTTTACCTATACAAATGGACACTTTAGCTTTTTAGGGGTTCATGACATCTCCCTTTCCACTCTTCTGTTGGTTATTTGGGCATCACCAACTCCTGGAGAAACAGGGAGAGCAGTAAGAGTTTAGGAGGACCAGCGGGATGCTTGGCCACTCACCAGGGAATCTCCTCCCCAAGGGCTTAAGGTCTGACAAAAATGAGGCTCTCTTTCAAAACAGTCTGCTGATTAAATATTAAAACATTTAAGTGTGAGCTAAATAAAAAGAGAGGCATGTGTGTATGTGTCTGAGAAAACACTTCTACCAATCTTGATCCAATCTCTGGTTCCAATGGGATTTTCAGTTCTAATGGGATTTTCTCAGTTCTAATGGGATTTTCTAGGCCCAGGGCCTAGAGTTAGTTTTTGATTGTTTTATGTAAGGTGATTCCCAGTAACACAATTGCTGTCTGGGCAGTTAGCTATAGGGCAAGTTATCCAATGTCCCCTGGCCTCAGTTTTTTCATCTGTAGAGTGGGGGTAATGATGGTACCTAACTCCAAGGATTATCGTGATAGTTAAGTAAATCACCATTTGTACAGTCCTAGACAACAGTGCCTGGCACATGGTCAAGTTGCATAAGGGTTAGCTATTATTGGTGGGAGATTGCTTGGAGGAAGTGGACAACTGTCCTCTAAGAGTTTGCCCCAAAGTACTTTTTTTTTTCTTTAAGCCAATAAGGGAATCCAAAACTGGGCAGAGAAGGCCAGAGTAAAGAATACTTTTTCTTTGTAAAAGAATTTATTGGTTGTTGACTTCGTTTCCGAATAGTCATTCTTGTTTGTACCGGTAGAGGTGGGGGCTAAAGGGTCACACGAGACAATCAGTACTCTGGACGCTTCCAGCAGCCACCCTCGGGTCTCAGGCGGCTGGTGGAGGCCAGATTTTAATGGTTGCTACCGGGACGGCCAGCAGGTGTGTCAACAGGAAGAAAGCGGTTTTAAAAGGGCAGAGGCGTGGGTCTCTGGGTTAGAAATTTGGTTCAGAAACTCTCTCCGTAGAGGCAAGGCCCACTGGGCAGATAACACCTTAGTCCCTGGGGTAACCTGCCATGATGTGTACACGAATTGGAGGTGCGGGATGGGAACCCGCTGCGGCGCTCCTCTCTTGGTCCCTGTACACTTGGCGAGTGTGAGAGCCGGGGACAGGGACAGCCTTGGGATCTGCATCGTTTCGGGCCAGATTGCTCCCTTTTTAATCCCACGATTTGTCTGGGAGAGCCGACAGGTCTGTGACCTTCTGCCTCCGTCCTGGATGGCCAGTTTCAGACGGAGCGTGCGGGGCTGGGCGAAACGTGGCGTCCTTTCCTCCCGTCCCCAGCAGGGACCTCTGCGCCACCCCGGGTTCTCTCTCTCTCCTTCCCTCGCAGGATCTACACGGGCTGCGACATGGACCGCCTGACCCCCTCGCCCAACGACTCCCCGCGCTCGCAGATCGTGCCTGGAGCGCGCTACGCCATGGCCGGCTCCTTCCTGCAGGACCAGTTCGTCAGCAACTACGCCAAGGCCCGCTT